GCTAGATTTTTTAAGAGATTGGGGCAATCTGTGGAGATTTGTAGTTACAGAAAAAGCAACAAATAAAGACACCTCAGAGATGAGTTGAAGGAGTGAGATTATGATGTATGTTGAGGAGACAGGAAGTGTATTTAGTTCTAGAAAGGGAATGGAATATACCTTTCTTTAAGACAGGAAGAAAGGGTAAGAGAACAGGTGAAGAGACAAGTAGTGATAAAAAGAGGATACACACAAAAACAAGTTAGGAGCTGAGAAAGAAATCTCAAGATTAGAAATAAACAAATTTCCAGGGCAGTAGAAATTTGGTCCTATCTGGTCCTTACACAGCCCTGCTCCTCCAGGCACACCTATTTAGGGGAATGGGGCAGCTATGCATGACAACGCAACACAGAGTGTAAAGGTCTGATGGGAGTTCCTGATGTGAAGTGGAGAGATTCTTCAGTTAAGGATGGCATTCAAGATGATATTCCTATTGCCTCATAACAGGTCTTTTGCCTATCTGAGTAAAAAGACCATTTTCTACTATCAATAGGAGATATGCCTGAATTAGCAGCTGCTCTATATGGGGGCAATGATAAGCTTGAAATCCCGCTGAAAGACAGTCACCTGCTGGAAGACAACTTCAGATATTCTAGAGGCGAGTACAGTGAGATTCGGACTTCTTGCATCATTGCTTTTCAAAGACCTCAGGAGATATGGACAGTAATTTCCTGATGTCATATGAGTAACTAAAAATAAATGGTTTTATAAATTGTAAAAGAAATCTGCAGCAGCAGCAAAACACTTTATAGAACTTATCTGAAGATAAGACATATGAGATTAAAGAACAATATTTTTATGGCCTTTTATTTCTTTTAAAAGGAATGCCCAATAAAATAGCTGGGTTGGAATTACTTTACTGCTTTAGCAGGTATCCTTACAAATATTTAAAAAATAATATTAGAAAAGGCAAAAAAAATCATGATTATTTCGGGAGATGGAGAAAAAGCTTCTGATACATTTTAACACCCTTTCAAAACTAAAAACTCTTAGCCACTAGGAAGAGAAGAAACTTCCTTAACCTGATAAAAAATATGTACCCCAAAACCTACTATACTTCAAACACTATATATATATAGCAAATACTAACAGGGTAAGGCTTCCCTTTGAAATCAGGAACAAAATGAAA